ATTTCATCTTTATTGTTTCTTTCTCTTTAAGTGCGTCTCGTTTTTAAGTTTTTTTTTTCTTCTTCTTTTTGTTAATCAACCGCCTACTTATGCGTAGATACGAGGAAACAATATACATAGTGTAGATACGTTTAGTGGTTAAGGCCATACTTTTTATTGCCGGACAGGTACAGTGTTTTACAAGACTGTATTCGCCCTATTCACTTTTTAACCGTTCAGCTGTAAAAGCTATGCAAATTGTCGTCGACCCACGGACGTTTGTAATACAGATTTTCAACGTTTTCAGGAAAGCATGCGTTTCAGTGATTCTCTCTCTTTTTTCTTTTACTTGGTTAAGAACGACGATCACACGCTGCTCGTAACAATTAGAAAATCAACGGTGAATTGTAGGCGTGGACGAGCGTTTGAAAAGTAACGATTCTCTGATTGTTTAGAGCAGTTTTAATTTCACACCTTTGTCCTTTGCTTGTAATTTCCCCAATTGACTGTTGGATACGTCGCGTCGCTTCGTTTATCAGGACGCGAAGAGGGGAAGGAGGAAACTGTTTTAATAACGTGTCTTTTCCCTGCCGTATACAAAGTACAAAGGAAAAATCCGAACGGTTAATCGAAGATAAGAGTCTCTTAATTAATCCGTTTCGATTGATCGCAGTATTTCGAAACGCTTCCGCTGAACTTTGAACGTTCAACGATGATTCGTTAATGCACAGCCAATTGTCTTAAAACTACAACTTATAGTTGAAATCGAGGGCAAGTTTTTGTTTTTCAAATGGTGGAAAGCTTCCTCTTGAGCGTACAGTAAGCCGCTATTCTGAAGAGCACGTAGTTGCATATCAAGACGACGATATCGATCCAGTATTTGCCTTCGTCGAACGATAGATCGGAGAGTAACATGTCAGGCATACGATAGTGGCAGTAGATCTTGGAACAACCGAGTTTCTCACGACTGAAACCGTAGACAGCTTGCACGAAACCGTGCAAAGAGTACTTGAGGTAGCTCAGATAACTCGTGTAGCACATTACAGTCGGCATATCTCTGTACAGAGCTAAAACTCCAGCTAGAGACAGCATAGCACAGGTTATAATAGCTCCTAAAAATGTCCCGTTTATAGGATTGACCAGGGTACCGATCAGAAGGCCGAAACTCTCGGCTATCATCGCTGT